GTGCCCTAACCTGTCACCCCCAACCAGCTTTGGGGCTGTGGGCTCTGCACAGATCACTACGTCATGTAACACGAAAGGCCCATGTCTTATTGACAGGGGTACAAAGCAAGTAGCAAGCATCCGGGCCGGGCAGAGGGCATGGCAAGGATGATAAGGATGCCCCTTGATGTTAGCAGGACTTCTTGGCCGGAACCTAATGTTACTAGTATAAAAAAGGGACAGAGAAAAAACTACTCCTCTAGTTTCTTGGAAGCTTTGAGATGATGCTGCAACCCAAGGAAAAGTTGGGTGAAAATATCAACATCAATCTCTTGCCCACAAATGTGATCCTTGCCATTGATGCACAATGACTACTTAATGCATCCTGGCTGCTATGGGCTGAATTATGTGCCCTCCCCAAATTCCTGTGTTGAAGTCCTCACCCCGCAGTGTGATGGTTTTTGGAGATGTGGCCTTTGGGAGGTAATTAGGTTGAGATGAGGCCATGCAGGTGGGACCCTCATGACAAGATTAGTATCCTTACAGGAAGAAACACCAGAGAGCTTGCTCTTCCTCTCTCCTGGCTGACCATATACTTCATCTGATTCCCTACATTCTGAAAATGTTAGAGAAAAGTGGTTTTTGCTTCTCAGAGGGCTCTCAGAATGGCATTAGAAAAATATATTTTATTCATTCTTTTAAAGAGCTCCACAAATAATTATCGAGTGCCTACTCTGTACTGGGAACACTGCTTAACAGTGACCAAGGCAGGCACGATGCTTTACTTTCAGACAGCAGGGGCAACCTGTGTACATTTTGGTGGCATGAACTCCACTCACGATGGCATGCAGCCATCACTGCTATCTAGTTCCAGGACATTTTCATCACCCCCAAAAGAAACTCTACCCATTAAATACTCCCTCCCCATTCTTCCTCCCCTCCCCCAGCCCTATGTACCACTAATCTACTTTCTGGCTCTGTGGATTTGCATAATTCTGGATATTTCATATAGCTGGGATCATATAATGTGTGTCCTTTTGTGTCTGGCTTCTGTTCCTTAGCACAGTGTTTCAAGGTTCATCCATGTTGTAGCAGGGGTCACTACTTGCATCCCTTTATGGGTGAATCGTATTCCATCGTATGGATAGACCACATTCTGTCTATCCATTCATCAGCTGATGACATTTGGGTTGTTTCCACCTTTTGGCTATCGTGAATGGTGCTGCTGTGAACACTGAGGAACAAGATTCTGTTTGGACATCGATTTCGGTTCCCTGGGGTATGTTCCGAGGAGTAGAGTTGTGGGTCATATGGCAATACTGTGGTTATTGGGGAATCAGGGAAAGACACTGCTTTTATATTGAAGAGAAAAACCCAACAACCAAAAACTAATAATTTGAAACGTTTTTATTTTTTATTTTTAAACATTATAAGTAGTCTGGCCAGATTTGTGACAAAATGGACCCTCTCAAGGAGGAGAAGCAAAGTGAGCCATTCAGTGCATGCTCATCTGTACAGTTAGAAAAACCACCAAAACACCATCTTCTATTGGCTGGCCAAAGGATTAGCATGGACCTCCTTGGGTCTGAAGTGGGACTGTTTGTCTTATCCGCCAGTCACCACTGAGGCTGGTGATACCCTCGTCCCTCTGTGAACACCCTGAGGACAAAGGGTTATCTGAGTCACCTCTGTCATCCTAGCTCCTGGCACAGTCAACATTTGTTGGTGGAAGGAAGGCAAGAATGCCACCCAGCCCCCTGGGAGAGGTGATCTTGGGCACCCTCTCTTGTTCCCGTGTCCCTGCAGGGTAATAAGGCACACCGACTCTCACACCAACGTCCTTCCCATCAGCCACCAATTTGGGCAGTACCACCACTGTCAGTCACTCGGGGATGAGCAAACCAGGTTTATAGCACATTCCACACAAACAAATTGACAAAGCTCAGAAACTGATGCTTGTCAGACCCAGGTATTCTGAATCTTGTTTTGAACAACATGATCATCATTTCCTTGGGCAATCTCCTACTGTCCCGTCATTTGCCTTTCTTGCTGTAGCATGGGAATCCTGTTACTGGTTTCTAGTCACCTCACAGCATGGTGGGGAGACTCAAAGCAGATATGGAAGCAGGATGTAGGAACATCCCTGGGCCTGCGGAGTCCTCCCCAAGTGGGCAGTGACTGGGCATGATCCCCTTTGGAGCCTGTCACTGCTGTTGACATCGAGAATACTGGTGTGGGAACAAATGCTGTCTTTGTCACCAGCTCAGCTACAGGGGCCTCTCCTTCCCTAAGCTGGCAGCTGAGGCTAAGCACTTGAGATCCCTGGGCCAGCTGTTGTGAAGTAAATGCCAGGCAGTAGGTAAGGCAGGATTCAGAGCTGGGCAGACAGCCAGGCTAGAGTGAGAGCACAGATGGGGGGGGGGGGCACAAAAGTTGGCAAACAAGTATTTTCCAAGGGGGGGGTTAAAAAATACAATTTTGCTTCTTAAGTAGACAAAGCACGAACAGGGGAGCTGCCTAAAAATTCTTGTTTTAACTCACTATCAGCGAAAGAAGATTCTAGTACCAGAGACGCACTGTGAGCAGTATTTCCCAAGGAGGCTTGCCTGGGAACACAGAAAGATAGCCACACCCTTTGAAGTTTGCTGGGAGCTTACAAAGGGCAGTGTTGTTTCCACCGAGGAAGAATGATAGCCCCGCATAATGGTGTCCTTATTCTCTAAACCCCAGACCTTATGTGATGAGGGGCAAGTAAGCCCGCAGGCCCAAGCAAAGGGGGCGGGGGGAAGGCTCGGTAAGACACACATGCCTTTAGCTTGCTCGCTAGTCAACATGGAAGTCTTCCTAGGAAGATGGTGTGGTCCAAGTCAGGAGTCTCGTTCCACTCTATTCCTAGGAGGACTGCTAAACCATACCAAGATGCTTTGTTCATTTGGTGATGGCTGATAAAAATTTCCAAGCGGACACATCGTCCATCTTGCTTGATAGACATGGGTGAAGCATGGTGTGAGCTTAAAGGTTATAGGGATAAAAGATTGTTGAGGAAAAAATGGCTAAACCCATGGTTTATCCATGGGTTAAATCGGAATGGGAATGGTGGAATTTCCAGCCCTGGGATTCCTATCACCCAAAAGAGGAAGGTCAGTAAGCTGGCAATAGCTGTCAAAGGCAGATTGTCTGCCAGTTATTAGGAAACAGAGCCCCCAAATTGAGTTCTAACATAGCCCTGACCAACTTCAGGATGCCTATGGTATTGCATCATGCATGCTTATGTCAGGGACCACTTCCAAAATTCTGACTCATTTCCCAGGCCAAGGAAACCATGTCAGCATATGAGTTTCATTCCTGGTGTCATCCCAGGGAATGTTTGTCAGCCCTGGTGTCTGGGAATGATTCCATCAGACCTGGGAGGAGCTGTGTGGTGTGGTGGCAAGAGCGAGGAGAAGCCCTGAGCTCCAGGCCTAGCTCTGTCGCCAATTCACTGTCATTCCCAGTGAGTCTTTTAACCAATCCGTGTCTTGGCTTCTCCAGTGGCTAGAAAGAGACTGTTTAATGAAATGATCTCGACCCTTCTGCCTTTAAAAATAAAAATGGCCGTTTCTTTGTGTTGGATTTGACAAAAATCGTGTATATGCAAATCGCCTGTTTGATCATTTTTGTTTTAGGTCTGTAAGGGGTCTTAAAGATCATCTAGTCCAGCGATCCCTTTGTCGTGCATACGTAGAAACCGAGAGCCAGAGAGAAGGGAGTTGTTCAATTAGTGCAGAATCAAGGTTTAGAGATCAGGTTTCTTGATTCCCAGTCCAGTGCATTTTCCACTACGTCTACTTTTAAGTCAGAGTAATGCATGGGCATGGTTCAAAATAATACAGGAGAGCTTGGAACAAAAAAACAACAGTTCTCAGCCCCACCCTTAGTCACACTCCTCAGAGGCAACCAATTTTAACAGACTCTGTTTTCAATTCATCTGGTCGTTACTTCGGAATCACTAAATAATATGCCTCTACTCCTATTTCTTGGTTTATCCATTTTGGATCTTATCTACTGACTCCCTGCTATTAAAAAAAAAAAAAAAAAAAAAAAAAAAAAGCTCACTTAACATTACTCCTAACCTCCCCTCTTTCCTCCCCATGTTTGATAGTGTTATCTTTATGAGATTTTTTTTCATTCACTTTTTAAAATAACATACAGTAAAATTTACTATTTTTAGTGTATAGTTAGTTTTATGAGTTAAGACAAGTATATAAAGTCATGTAACTACCACCACAATCAAGATATAGAACAGTTCATTACCCCCTCAAATTTTCCCATGCCGCCTTTTGTAATCAGCCCAGCCTTCTACCCCCAACTCTAGATAACCACGGCCCTGTTTAATGTTGCTATAATTTTGCTTTTTCCAGAAGGTGCTAGAAATGGAACAATGGAGTATGTGATCTTTTGAGACTGCATCTTTTACTCAGTATAATTATTTTGAGATTCATGTATCAGTAGTTCATTCTTTTGTATTACTGTATCCATTGCATGGATGTACCACAGTTGATGCATTCCCCAGTTGAAGGACATTTAGGTTGTTCCCGGTTTGATAGTATTATTTTTAGCTATTCCATGGGTTACTTTTTAAATTGCAACTATATTCTTAAACCTGTATTTCTTGAGCCATCATCCACTATCTATGCAGTAGATCTTCTTCAGCGTACTAAATGCTTTTGATTGGATTTTAAATATGATACTTTCATTCATTTACTCTTGGCTTTAAATCAATTTCATTTGAGGGTGTAACTTTTCATAGGGGTCAGAGGGATTGATTAAATGCTATCCAGCAGCCCTATTCAGGGCTACAGCTATTCTAAATGGCTCCTGTAGCATAGAGGGCCCTCTCTAGTACCAGACGTGCTTGTTGCTGGGAAGATATACATGTACTTTCTTTTCTGACCGTTGCTAACTCAGGCAGTAATTTTGGGGAAAAAGACCTTTCTTCATGTGGATTTCAGCTTTTGTCTGTCATGCTTTTTCTGTTCCAGCTGCCTTCACCAGCGAGCACAAAGCCACATTTCAAAGGAGACTGACAAATTATCCCCAGCTGCCAGAAGGAGGTTAGCTTTCTGTGTGTTCTGTGTCCGCTTCTCTGATAACCAACAGGTTAACTTTCTAAAAGGAACTGACAAAAGCAGAAATTGTCTTTTTACCCCAAGTGGGTTTTTTTGCTCTTTTAAAAGATGTCAATTTGTAATGTTCCTCTCCATTCAGACCCAAATATATGCTGAGAAATACAGCATAAGTGATCACAACTGTACCTTTATTGTTTGCAAGATTCATATTAATGTATTTTTAAAGTGTTTATCAGAGCCAAATTATTTTTTAAATTTGTTAGCACCATGTCTTTCCTCAAAGAATAGCCTTTTAAAGACTGAATGATATCAGCCTTGCCTATAGAGATGTATATGTTCTTATATTTCACTTACTTTTTAAACTACCTTTGTATGTACGTTATCTACCCTGCACTCACACTGCATAACAGGAGTGAGTCTAATGCCTGCACAGTACCCCACACATAATAGATGCTCAGTAAATGCCTTTTGAATTAAAATGGTTCAAAATAGTGTCATGTACACATGATGGTGAAGTATTCTGGATTAATGCAATGGAGCAGACATTCTCAAACACTACTGGGAATGCAAATTGGTACAATTCTCCCACAGGGCACTTTGACAACACGTGCCAAAGCCTTAACAATGTTCTTCTTATTATTCTCTTTCTAAGGACTTACCTAAAAAAAAAAATAGAGCTGTACAAAAATATAAATATGAGGAAATTTATCGTAACATCTTTTAAAATAGAGGAAAAGTGGAAACAGCTTAAAAGTTCTCCTTACTATGAAATCCTGTGCAGTAACATTTATACCATGAAATGCTACATGGTTATTTAAAATCACGTTTAGAAGATTATTTAATAACATGAGGAAGTGCCCACCACTTAAATTCAGTGGGGGAAGGGAAGATACGCAAATGAATATACAGTATGATCCGATGTGCGTGTGTGTGTGTGTGTCTGTGTGTGTGTGTGTAGAAAAAAGAAGACTGAAAGTAAATAAATAGAAATATTAATACTGGTTACCTCTAACTTGTAGGATTATGAATGACTTTCATGTTCTAATTTCTGTAATTTCCAAACTCTTTACAATGAGCGTATCTTAGTTTATAATCTGAAAAACATCTTTCTCACTTGAAAGAAATAAATACTATTTCTAATAGATTGAGGGCTTATATTCATAAAATCCTAGCAGTAAGATATGGAACCATTTCTCAAACCAAATCAACTCTTCAGATGCCGTGTAAAAAGTCACACCAGTGTTTATAAGTTTTCAGAAAGACAAACTGAAGCCCAGAAGGCTCGTGTTTAAGCATTAGGAGCCCAAGTTTGATATTGAAAGGCGAATGTGTTCATCCTTTTCTCTAGGCCTAGTTAGATTTCATCCTTCTCTCTTCTCATCTGTACCCCTTTTTAAACTGTATAGATCTGTGGAACAAATGTTGAGCAAACTGGAAATAAATAAAATCCAATGGCTTTAAGATACCACAAAGCCCTCCCTTCCTGTGTACTAATGGCTACCTGCCCACTGTACTCCCCAGAGTGGAGGGCTGGAGTCAGCCAAAATGGAGGCTTTTCTGATTCAAGCGTGAACACTGCAAATGCTCACAAGAGAGAAAAACTTCTGTCTGTAAAGATTGAGACACAACACGTACAACCTTCTCTCTCCCCTACGATCTTAGCTTCATAGAATATAAACTGGTGAGCTCTGCTAGGGAAAAAAAACTAACTAAAAAATCATAGAAGGTGATACAGTAAGGACTATTCAAAGAAATCTCAGAATTCTAGAGCTTGAAGGAAAACATTCCAACAAGTATAGTGCTCCCTCCAAATGTCACATGCTGTGCCAGGTTCTCTCATAACAACTATCTAGCAATGCACCCCATTTTACAGATGAGGAAATCAAAGCCCAGGGAGGGGTTGTAAATTGCCTTAAATCAGTTTGTTGCCTACAAAGTTTGGGCTAGGTCCTACATCTTCCGGAGACTCAGATGAAAAGATGGGGTTTTCTAGTATAATCTTCCCCTCAGCTCCAGACAGTCCAAATATTTACTATTACAGTTCTGCTTGGGTATTTTGTTAACAGCTCAAGCTAATCAGGTCCAAAATCAAACTCACAGCCTTCCCCCTTGTCTCCCAGTCACCCAGAATCCAAACCAAAATCTGATTGGCTTCTTACTCTCCTTCACCCCCACCCTGTAAACAAGTCCTGTCGACTTTTCCTTCAAAAACGCCTTCATATCCTATTCAACCCATAAGACAACCCAACCTTCACCTCCTTAAGAAATCTCTTCTTTACTATGCCGGTCCACACTACTGCCCCTCATCCAGGAACCATTAGCATTTGGTCAGCAGCGTTCCTTCATGTGACGAACATATATTGAGTGTCTACTATATGCCAGGTCCTGAGATGGATAATTCATTTGTTTTATCTCCCCAACTAGACATTTCAAAACCCTGAGAGTCTAGAGTATGACTTTTTCCATAGCCTTTTAAAGACCTATTGCAGCTCTGAGCACATATTGAAGACTTGTTTGTTCAAGAGTAGAACAGATTTAAGGAATCTGTCACCAGCTTGGCAGCTAGAGAACTCTGAGGATGCCTTAATCTCTGGTTCCTCCTCAACATCTCACAAGCTACATGGGTATGATCCACTCACTCAATGAAGACAGCATATTATAATGTAGCTTTTTAACACCATACCTTAACAAATAAGTAATGAGATTTAACTAATACGAGATGTGGGATCCTAAAAGTCAACTGGGGACTTCTGTCCCCAAGGAGATGGAGTAGATAGACTGTTCCCCATTCCTTCCACTAAGTACAACTAAAAACCCTGGACATTTTATATATAAAACAAACATAAGAAGACCAATGAAGATGGAGAGAAGAAGGCAGACTGGGTAAAGACCTCAGGAACCAAAGAATGATATGGTAATGAGTTCTCTGAATTTTCTCTTCTCCTCACATATCCCAGACTGGCTGCTGGAGAAGCCAGCAATTCAGAAAACACCAACAGGAGCAAACAAAAATAAAAACCTGCTCTCCCTAGCAAAAGGACCAGGAAACGGGCAACCTAACAAGATAGAAAACTATTCAACAATTACTGCTCTATACCACAGGAAAAACTATGACTCCCACCTCACCCCTGCCAGCAAAAGCCAAGTGAGGAGCCTGACCTTCTACTGCAATCTGGCGGTAACAAGGCAATATCTCCTCCTGCAGTATCTCCTCCTTTCTCCTCCCAGAGTAGCATCAGGAAAAAAAAAAACAAACAAACAAACAGCTAAAACAGAAGGTTTGAATAAGATCCAGAGTTTCATTACATAATACCCAAAATGAACAGTATTCAATTTAAAATCATTCATTACAACAAGAACCAGGAAGATCTCAAACTGAATGAAAAAACACAATCGGTAGATGCCAAAACCAAGATGACAGGGATGTTGGAATTATCTAATGAAGATTTTGAAGCAGCTGTCATAAAAATGCTTTAAGCAGCAATTACAAACATGTTCAAAACAAAAGAAACAAAGTCCCAGCAAGAACTATAAAGTCTCGGTAAACAAATACAAATATATACAGGAGAACCAAATGGAAATTTTAGAACTGAAAAACTCAGTGGCTCAAAAGAACAGAGGAGGCAAATGAAAGAATCAGAGAATTTGAAGATATAACAATAGAAATTACCCAGAGAGAAAATAGACTGGAAATCAAATGAATAGTGCCTCAGGAACCTGTGGGGATTGTAACAAAAGATACAACATTCATATCATCAGAGTTCTAAGAAGAGAGGAGAAAGAGAAAAGCTGAAAATTTCCAAATCGGGGAAAAGATAGAAAAATATACTCAAAAAGTTGAAAGAATCCCAAACTGGATGAATCCAATGCACATTCAGACATATCATAGTCAAACTTCTGAAAACTAAAGACAAAGAAAAAAATCTTGAAAGCAGACAGAGAAGAAAAGATATTACTTACAGGAAAACAATGTTTTGAATAAGGAATTGGCCCATTTTTCAAGTGCTAAACCTGCCAACCCAGAATCCTATATCATGCCAAAATATCCTTCAGGAATGAAAGGGAAATGAAGACATTCTCAGATGAAAAAACTCGAAGAGAATCTGTCACCATCACACCTACCCTAAATGAGTAGCTAAAGGATGTTCTCTAAACAGAAATGGTTTAAAAACAAACAGAAAAGAAATCTTGGAACATCAGGAAGAAAGAACACAATGAAAACATCAATAAATTAAATAGACTTCCCCTTCCCCTCTTGAGTCTTCAAGATTATGTTTGGTGGTTGGAGCAAAAATTATTACACTGTCTGATTGGGTTTTAAATGTATGTAGAGGAAATATTTAAAACAATTATATTATAAACTGGGGAGGGCAAATGGACATAAATGGAGGTAAGTTTTCTACACTTCCCCAAACCGGTAAAATAACACCACCATTAGACTGTGATAAGCTATGTATATACAATGTAATACCTAAAGGAACCACTAAACTCTATACAAAGATATACACTCAAAACTATGAAAGATAAATCCAAATGATATTCCAAAAAAAATATTCAAGTAGCCCACAGGAATGCAGGAAGAAGAAAAACAGAAATGAAAAACAGAAAACAAAAAATAAAATGGCAGACACGGACCCTAGTGTATCAAGAGACTCACTTCAAATATAATGATACAGGGAGATTGAGAAGAAAATGATGGAAACATATATTATGCAGACATGAATCAAAAGCACGAGTGTCTCTGTCTCTATTAATATCAGATAGGCTTCAGAGTGAAGAAAATTTGCAGAGACAGAGAGGGACATTATGATATGTGACAATGATATAATGATAAAATGGTAAATCCATGAAGAAGACGTAGGAATGCTAAATGTGTATGTGCCAAACAACTGAGCTGTCTTTGAAGCAAAATATGTGAATCAAAAACTGATAGAACTGAAAGGAGAAATAGATAAATCCCCATTGTAGTTACAGATTTCAGCGCC